ATTGAAATAGTTAGTTCCAACAATGGGTTGTCATTAATCACCAAAACAATCACCGCACTCTTAGGGTCATTGATATTCCAATCTCCCTTTACAAGGCAACTCTAGGGCATAGATCTTTCAAAACCTGCTGAAACGTGCACGAAATCCTCCTTTGGTGTATGAGATCAAACCTTTCTTTCATAAATAAATTTTTGTGCGAAGGATCCCCGTACTTCTCTTCCATATGAGTTAAAATTCTCTTAACAAATCTGAATAAAAAAATTATTCTTAACAAACTAGTCTCCACAGATACTATAAATATGATATTCTATCCATCCCAGTTTAATCATCACATATTTTTTTATGGTTTTCTCAAAATAATCATCATCTAACAAAATATATCTTTGTTTATTTATGCAAAGAGCTGCATACAAGTGTATGGATGCCACCAATCAAAATTAATTTCTATTGGTTGAATCTATACAACTCTTGGGTCTGTTCGGAACACAGGGTTCCCAACCCCTCTCCATCGTATTCCGCGCGCACGCATTTCAAACTGCTAAACGGTGTGTTTTTTGCAAAAAGTTTATATACGAAAGTTGCTTAAAAAACATATTGATCTATTTTTCAAGTTTTTTATAGCTAATACTTAATTAATTACGTGGTAATCTATCGCTTTGTTTTCCGTGAGGAGGGGAGGGGTTCCCAACCCCTCCAAAAGAACACAGCCTTAAAGTGTGAATTAATTTCTGTTAGGTACGAAGTGACAAAGCACCTTTTTTTTTAGAACTGTGACAAAGCACCTTGATCGATAAGAATTAATTTTAGAACGATTGATGATCTTGATGCTCTTTGCTTATGGGATGGTTATTGGATAGTGGGAGTATCACTTTGATGTAAAGGTCGGGTTTTATCCATTATTATCTTAAAAAAAGATACTCCCTCCGTTTCACAATGTAAGTCATTCTAGCATTTCCCACATTCATATAGATGTTGATGAATCTAAATATATATAGATGTCTAGATTCATTAACATCTATATGAATGTGAGAAATGATAAAATGACTTACAATGTGAAACGGAGGGAGTACGATACAACGGTTACATGCCTACAAAACTAGCTCAACCGGCTGCAATTCTGTGGAGCTAACCAGTTATGATTTGCGATCAGGGACCCAATTGCTTCTGGCAATTTCATACCAACCCAAGTACCCAGACTTCTCACATTGACAAGAGGAAATTCAGCCAAATTTCTAAGTCGTCATTGACTCACCATGTCGCCGGTCCATCCAACCTGTCGTAATAGTACAAGACCACACGCTTCCTTCACGAATCTTACAACCCAAACATGCTCACCATCACGGAAACATATCATATACACACAAGTTTTCCGTACACACCAACTAGTAGTAAATATCATAGAAAATTCTCAAAAAAATTGAACACATACTTTAAATAATATGACACATATCTTTGAAATCCCATATTCAAATTCATTATATTTCAATCCTAAAAAAAAGGACAATATTATAACAGATTTTACTCTTAAAACTATCATATTTTTCTTTTTTTTACAGATAAAATATAATAAATTTGAATATAAGACTTTATAGACATGTGTAATACTATAATGAATTTGAATATAAGACTTTGTGCACATATGTAATACTATTAAGAGTCTATGTCAGATTTTTTTTTTCTAGAATTTTCATGATATTTACTAGTTGGTGTGCATGAAGTGTGGACGGAAAGCTTGTGTCCATAGGATATATTTCCCACCCTCGCCATCCCGATTTACGTCACTACAATAGCGTTTAAAAGGCTGAGAACTGAAGATGATATATCCTATTGAATTGGATTTTGTTCGGTCCTCCTTTTAAACGAGTTAAGCAAGCAGTGCAAGCTTGGTTCCCCAACAACGAAATGGCGCTGCTAAGCTCAATCGATTCGTCTGCTTCTTGATTCTATTCGAGATGGATTCCCGAGTGCTGCCGCAGATGCTAAATCAGCTCCCCAACCTCTCGCTCGTCATTTCTCATTCTCTCCTTCTTGCATGGTGATCAGTAACACTGGTTTGTCATGGATTGGCACCAAACGTACTATCTAGTCCTCATCCATATTATCATCTATATCTTCGACGTCCATACTTGTTCCATCGTCTGTTCTTCCAGCTTGCCTATTGTGAGGATACTCCGTACAGAATTGCCCTTGTCGTTTCAGGTGTCCAGCCGTACTTTTACCTGTGCCCCCAACAAAATGTTTCATGAACATTGAACAAGATCCGGTGCAAAAAATAATAAGTGGATAATTAATAGACATAATAATTCAGGTACCTACTTTATCAATCAATATCCTGTCCTAGAACGCAATCAGACCTTGTTGCTGTTTTCCTTTCCACCAGTTTATTTTTTAAGAAACGCTAATCTAAATATGGTAGCTATTTCGTTGTGGCATAGGGAAACATATTCTGTCACTAAACACAGTTTGAAATCCCGCATGTTCTAGCATCTAACTTGGTATCTGTTGCACATCCCATTTGTTTCGCAATATGTTAACCTGCTGCATCCATACCCTATGCAAATAATAAGTTTACCGAGGTTGAAATGTCCTAATTAATCAGATTATTTATATCTTCTTAACCTCAGACTAATGAAGTTCTCAGCTAGTAATCTAGCAAGATAATAACAGCAGCACCAAAAATTCTACATCAACCTTTATTGTGCTTAAAATAGTTGATCAAACGAGTATCCAGTTACCCACTAAAAACACGGTGGCTTTTTTCCCTTCCAAGATACATTGAATTTTAACAATCCTAGCTAATATGCAGGTGTATTTACTATCAATTTATAAAGTAGAGCATGCGATGAATCTGTAGATGTAATCACAAAGTTGTGCAGCTAAATAAAAAAATTACCTGTAGAGGTACTGAAATACTTGGAGATTCTACAGAGGGTATATGATAAGTCAACACCAATGACCCTTTCGGCACGAAAAATGCCTACATCTTCCAGCTTCTTGCTCCTCATGTCGACGGCGATCACCCATCCCCTTTTGTCCCATGGATCGACCTTCGCCATGAAATTGACCTTATCATCATCGTTCAGGCTTATCGCGGGCCGAGTGATGTGAAGCCCTCGCAACGTTGGCCGGCCCGTCGCGTCGTCTATCTGCAGCTCGGGTCGTAGCAACTCGAGATGTGACGCATAATCCTCATCAACTATAATGTCAGGTACACTGAATATGTGGTCTCTTCGCCAATCGTCGTCCTCCTCCCAAGTAGCCATCCTACTCCACATGGAGACCTTACGGAGACGAGAGGCGACGTTTGACGTGGCACCGCCATTGATGACGTCTGGTTGTTGTTGCTGCTGCTGGTGGTTCTTGAACTAGAAACAGTCGGCGACCTTGACGCGGCCGTCGACGACGACGACGTCACGGACAATGCTGGCGTCCATGCGGAGGATCCTCCTGGACCTGAGCGCCCGCGGGAGCAGGATGAAACGTGGAGGAACGCCGCGGTCAAGAACGTCGACGACGATGATGCCGCGCCAGAGGTCGACGAACGCCATCAGGCCGCCATTGCCGAGCACGACCACCTTGGATGGGGAGCAGTTGAACTGGCTGTGCCGGTGCTCCGGGCCCAGCGACAGCGTCCTGTCGCTCCAGCTTCCGGTCTTGGAGTCGAACACGTAGAGGACATACTCCCAGGACGATGTGTATCCCGGGTGGAGAGTGACGATGTAGTAGTGGCCGTGCTCGCCGTCGCCGCCGCCGGGGTGGGCGACGCTGTGGCGGAGCAGTCCGATGTTGTATACCGCACTGAAATGGGGCTCGAGGTCCCCAAGTCGCCGGATAGACGGCGCGCCGGCGGCCTGGTAGATGAAGACGTCGGTTTTGTCGAGGTTGAGGATGTCTCTGGCGTTGCCGCGCACGGCGGCGAAGACGACGAGGTCGGCCTCGGCGGCGACGATGCAGGGCTCGGTGGCGAGCTCCGTGGGGCGCTCGCCGGGGCACCAGACGCAGAAGTAGGAGACGCGCGGCGGCGGCGCGTCGACGCAGAGGGTGACCTGGAGCTCCAGGCCGCTGCGCATGGCGCAGCGCGCGGTGGTGGCGTTGCGGCGGTCGGCGATGAAGGCCATCAGGTCGACCAGCGCGGAGCTCCGGTGAGCGTCGTCGGAGGAGGGGGCATGGTGGTGGCCGTGGGGTGGGAGAACCAAGGAGGAGTCCAGGAAATGCTTGCCCTCCAAGCTCGTCCACGCCATGGATGATCGATCTCCTCTCCTTCTCGCGCCGGATTGATTTTAAAGAGGATGAAAATCCGAAACGGCATCGGAGTCGGGAACGCTGCTACCTACTGTAGTCGGAGAAGAATTGCGTCGGCGGCGGCGGCAACGCCGTACAAGCAGGGATTGGACCGTTTGCAAATTCAAAAAAAGGAAAAAGTACAACGAAGGTCCTCAACTTGTCATCGAGTTACAAAATCGTCGCCCAACAGTAAAACCAGATATCCGACGTCCTTTAACTAATCAAAACCGGTCATAATAGGATCTTTAGTGGTTTTGACCATGATTTTAGCCTACGTGACTGCTAAGTTAGCGTGGGACCCACATGCCAGAATGCCACATCATCTCTTTTTCCCCTCTTCTCTCCCTTCCTTAGATGGGGCCCACTTGTCAGGTGTCTCTTCTACCTCCTTCCCTGCGCCAACACAGAGAGGAGAGGGAGAGGAAGGGAAGGAGTACGTGGCTCCAGCGGCTCGGCGGCAGCGGCCGGCCGGCGGTGGGGAGGACGCCGTCGGGGCGAGGAGGTCCGACGGCCGGCCGGACCAGCGGCCAGCGCCTCCCGCCGAGCCCGTTCGGGCTGCCCATCCTGGAGGTGAGGCGGCGTCGAGACTCGAGATGGGATGGAGGTGAGGCGGCGCCATGCGTCCTCGCCGTATTGGCCGACGGCGCCATGCGTCACTGACGAACAAACCATTTAAGATTACATTAAAGACATGATGCATGCTACTACAAATATTATCAAGCCAATGCATTTGATCTGATCGATGATACTGCTACTCGTCTGCTTGTGCCATCGCGTCTCAGGAATGCAGCAACCAAACTCGCCGGATCAACACTCGTTCGTCCGCAGACGGTCGCCTGGTCGGTTGATCGATCATGAAACAAGAAAAACGAGAATCGATCGATCAGTGCCTCAGTGGTGAGTGAAACATCGGTCGTGCAATGGAGCCATGGATGCAATGCAACGCACGTACCGTTGTTGTGGTAGCGCGACGCGGCGCCGGCGATGGCGAGATCGGGGGACGAGGCGGCGGCGGTGGGGATGGAGATGGAGAGCTGCGTGCCGTCCCACGGCGTCCTCCCGTCGTCGCTGCGCGGCCACTCGTCCAAGAATCGCCACAGGGGCTTCTCCGTCGTCGTCGCCGACGTGGTGTCGTGGTGGTGGTGGTCCGCCGGTTTGTCCAAGCTCAGGTCGGCTGCGCCGCCGAGGGTGAGGCAATGCTCCTTGGACGACAACCAGCCATAGCCGCCGGACGCTGGGAAGAGCGGCGTGCTGGTGTGCGCGTACCTGTGGTAGGACGGCGGCGGCGACGTCGAGGCATGGAAGGAGTCGAGGTGGAGCTGGAGAGGAGCTCCGCCACCGCCGCCGCCGCTGTAGCGCGTCGTCGTGCGCCGGCGGCGAGATGGAGAGCGCGGACGGCCGGTAGACGGCGGCGGCGGCGGAGGGCGCCATTTCCACAGGCTTTCTTGAAAGGTTCTTGCCGTCCTAGCCGATGGAACCGAGGCGGAGGTAGAGGAGCGGGCCGTGGAGCGCGGCGAGGCGGTGGAGTGCCTGGTGCGGCAGCGGCGTGAGCAGGTGGAGGTGGCCCAGGATGGGCAGCCCGAACGGGCTCGGCGGGAGTCGCAGGCCGCTGGTCCGGCCGGCCGTCGGACCTCCTCGGCCCAACGACGTCCTCCCCACCGCCGGCCGGCCGCTGCCACCGAGCCGCTGGAGCCGCGCCCTCCTTTCCTACCTTTCCCTCTCCTCTCTGTGTAGGCGCAGGGAAGGAGGTAGAAGAGACACCTGACAAGTGGGCCCCATCTGAGGAAGGGAGAGAATAGGGGAAAGAGAGATGACGTGGCATCCTGACACGTGGGTCCCACGCTGACTCAGTCGCCACATAGACAAAAACCAGGGTCAAAACCACCGAAGGATCTATTGTGACCGGTTTTTATTAGTTAAGGGACGTCAGATATCTGGTTTTGTGGTTGGGGGATGATTTTGTAACTCGAAGACAAGTTGAGGGACCTTCGGTGTACTTTTCCCTTCAAAAAAATTATGAGGCCTCAACGAGCCCAGCAAGTTCTTAGACTATTATTGGGCTTGGCAAAAGTCCAATTTGGGCCTCCCATCGCTGTAGACTTCCTCTGCTTTGTCCTGATGCCCAGCAGCTACTTGGCGTCTCCTCGCTGTCCACGGCCTCGAACCCATCTCTTTCTTTTACGTCTCTTGCCACCGACGATATAAGGTAGTGTTTGGTTGCAAGGATGAGATGGGATGGGATGGGACGAACCCACTTTTAGGGGTGTTTGGTTTAGGGGTGGGTGGGATGGGTTGGTCCCTGGAGAGGAATATTCCTCTCAGATCCGGGTCCAACCGATCCGCCAAAAACTGGCGGACAAACTCGTCCCACCTGGGACGAGCGACGGCGTCACCGCGCCATCCACCACCTTCGCGAGCTCCGCCGGGCGCCCACGAGCGTCGCCGCCTCGTCCACACCCGCCGCCACCTCCGCACGTCCTTCTCCGCCGCCGCCGCCTCCTTGAGCGCCGCCGCCTCTGCCTCGTCCGCGACCGCCGCCGCCTCCATGAGCGCCGCCGCTTGCCCGCGACCACCACCTCCGCGCGTCCACGAGCGCCGCCTCGCCTCCACGGCCGCCGCCGCCGCCTCCACGAGTGCCGCCGCTCATTCGCGACCGCCACCTCCGCTAGCACCGCCGCCGCTCCACTCAGATCCAGCCGCCGCCTCGCCTCCGCGCCCGGCGCCTCCTCCGCTTCGTCCATGACTGCCGCCACCTCCACGAGCACCGCGACCGCCATCTCCACAAACTCCGCCACCTCTGCCTCGTCTACGACCGCCGCCGCCACCTTCGCAAGCGCCGCCGCCGGTCCTCTCAGATCCGGGCGCCGCCGAGTGCCTCCGCCCCTAGACGGCACTAACGGTGAGTACAAATCCGTCCATCCCATCCCACCTCAATCCCTTCTACCAAACAAAAAACTATAACCATCCCATACCATAAACCAAACAAACAACTGGAACTATCCCATCCCACAAAACTAGGATAGGTCTGACCCATCCCACTTCGTCCCCAAACCAAACACTACCTAAGGGGATAAGAAGGGATGGGTTAGACTTAAGAACGGGATCGTTATATCTATTCGTTTGACATGAGGGATGGAATGATCGATATCTTAGTATGTGTTTGGTTGAAGGGATATCACGGAATAGGATGGGATCATCCTATTTTTATATGTGTTTGGTTGAGAGACTAAATGGGATAGAATGATTCCAAAAGATAATATTCCTTCAATATTCGGGACCAACTCATCCGCCAAAAACTGGCGGACGGATTCATCCCACCTCCGCACGCGCGTGAGGCGCGGTAACCCTCACGGCCCACCCCGGTTTTCACCGCATCCCTTTTTTTTCCCTTCGCTCTTTTCAGCTCCTCCTCACGACTGCGTTCTAGGGTTAGCGGCGGGAGCAGGGGCGAATCGGCGGCCAGCGTGCAAGGCAGCAACGGGAGCAGGGGCGAGCCGGCGGCGCGAGCAGGGATGAGGCGGTGGCGGGAACGCGTGAGCAAGGGCGAGCCGGCGGCGCAAGCAGGGGCAAGGCGGCGGTGGGAGCGCACGAGCAGGGAGTTGGTGATGCCTCTTCTCTTGCCGGTCGCTACTCTGCTATCCTTCTATAAATTTCTCTATCCAATAATTGGTATTGATCAGAGAGACTGATATTTGTCAATTCTCATCTCCGAAGCGCTTGATCGCTATCATAGTATTATCAGTAAGTATGGATGAAGTCAATTAGTCAGTAGCAATTGAACCGACAGCAGTATATATCGAGACGTGTAGAAGACTAAGTTGCATGGGTTCAAGGTATGATAGAACGAATATAATTGCATTTTTTGTTTTTTTTTCAAGAATGTTGTAGTATAATTAGTTCAAGAATGTGTTATTTTTTTAGTAAATTTCTTGACAGAAGATGATGGCCATGTGTTATTTTCTATGAATGGATTGATACAGATGTATACTGATTAAAAATGTAGCGATATTAACGGTATTTAATTTTCAAATAGTGTAATTTTCATGTCTAAATGTTATTTTACAATGTGTACACTCTGAGAGGTAACCTCACCAACTAATATGAGTAGGTAACTCTATCCAGGCATCCCACCTTCATCCCTCCATCCAAACAAGGCATAGGATCATTCCAACCCATCATATCCTTCAAACCAAACAAAAAAAACAGGGTTCGTTCCATCTCTTCAACCAAACAGAAAATAGGATCATCCCATTCCAAAAAACAGGGATGGATCCAACCCATCCCACCTCGTCTCCAAATGAGATGGATAGGTTCGCCCACTTTTTAGCGACCAATCTAACCAGGGCTGGCCCAGGGAGGGGGGGGTCAGGCCGTGCGGCCGCCCGAGGCCCCCAAAATCTAGGGCCCCCTATACACATATAGTATATATATACTATGTATTGTATAATTTTAATTCATGGATCATGGGCCTATATTAAGTTAGACAGCTGAATATCCCAATTCAGAAAATGAATTTTAGTCCATCGTCAGGCATGTTTCAGCGAAGCCGAAGCGATTCTGGCTCCCGTCGCTTCGCATCGATCACATCACGCCACTCGCATCGCGCCACCTCGGTCACATCACGCCACTCACTGCTCTTGTGCTCGCGGTAACTTCTCGGTGTCTCGTAAATGGAAACGGCAATTGGACATAGCAGATCGCGGCTCACCAGTAGCCACGCCCGTTTCAATAAGGGCCTCCATATAAATTTTTGCCCTGGGCCCCAAAACCCCAGAACCGGCCCTGAATCCAACTAGATCTTAGGAGCATAGTCATTTTTAAGATTTATCCTATCCAATCTATTCTCAAACCAAACAAAAATGGATTCGAACCCACTCCATTCTTATAACCAAACGCATGCTTAATTCACTCTACTATATAAAAATTTTCATTTAATCTCGACTGTTTGCACTCCTCGGTCTTCACAAACCAACTCGTACTACTCTCACAAATAATCCATTTAAACTCGATTGTTCTTCACAAATTGCAAGGAATACAGTGTTTCTGGTTGCGGTTCCCTTTTCTTCTCTTTCAACTCTGGCAAGGTTGGAGAATAATAATCTCACACAAATTATGACGTTAACAATTCTTAGGATCGAGTAAGAAATCCAGTTCGAGGATAACATCCAATGGTTGCAAAACTAGCCGAAACGAGAGGCCTGCATTTTTTGTCTATTTAGCTGACCAATTGGGCAGTTGCGATATGCAATCAGGGACTCAATTGCCTTTCTGCCAATTTCATAACTACCCGGGTACTCCGACCCGTTGACAAGAGAATTAAGCAAAACAAATCCCAAATTTATCCTTGATTCGCCTTCTTGAACGCTGGACAGCGCAGCAGCTGACGCCAATTCGCAATACCGAAGATAAGATCGCGCTGAAGTGGATTTGGATTTTATTCGGTCCCTCTTATGTTGCCACCAGCCTATTCTCAATTATTTTTCATTCATCCAACACAACAATATTAAACAAAAATGGTAACTTTGGTAGCTATCGCCGATTGCTCTATAAGTTGACAACTGATATGTTCAAGTTTCAACAGGGTGCACAAAGGGCAAAAACAACGATGTTAAGTGTCTATGGTTGGACAACTCAAGGTACTATATCAATCATCACTGCCAGAATCTATATCGGAGTTTGCCTTTTGGTGGGCTACTCCGTTCGCGACCTTACCCTTTCCTTTGCTCTTCTCATCCTCCTCGTCATCGCTGTACTCGCTCTCGTAGTCGTCGTACTCCTCTTCTTCCTCCTCTTCTTCTTCCTCAATACCATCCTCTGCCACTGGGCCTTCTTCAGCCACATGACCTCTTGTTCCTGCCCGGCTGCGCTTCAGGACCTTCAACTTCAAGCTGGTCTTGGTGTCACATCCTATCCATGCGTCGCACAAACAGAAGGAAGTCAGGTTGTGAGTGCCCTCGGCCGGGGCTTGGAACTTGCCCATTACCAACCTACTGCCTTTCTTCACCCTGTCGACTGCCTCTCTAATCGCAATCCCTATTTCCTTTGCACTTGCACCTAGTGCTTCTTGGGTCTCTTGTATAGCTTTTGATGCTGCAGTTATAGCGGTAGTCTCATCCATGAAGCTGACCTTCTGGGATAACCAAACTTCATTCGATGCAGCATCTGCTAGAAGCAACCAGAAGTTCTCTTCCTTGTGGAACGGGAAGGAAGGAGCATGGGGAAGAGCAGCAGTTAGGCCATTGCGACGGTGAAGTGAGACCCAAGCATACATGGTCACAACATCACCCTCTTGAATCCCCTCTTCGCCTTCAGTCTCACATTTAATATCCACTTCAATAGAAGGAATCATCTCCAGCACAAGCTCTACATCTTGAGCACCTTCATCAGAAAGCCCAGCAACCTGTGTCAGCAACGTGGCGCGTTCCTCCACAGGCATGTCACAGAATTCTTGGAATGAACGGATTTTCTGCAGTCAAACATGAAACCAATTAATTCTATTTCTAAAATTAAAAACATTGCTACAAAAGACGGGCTAATAACTTTGCTCGCTGAGAAGGCAAAACAGAAATTACCTTGCGAGCAATTTTTTTGACAACCGTTTCAGTAAAATGCGGTAGCTGCAAGAAAGGTGCTATTCCTTCAGAGTTGCCTCCGCTAGCTTTTCGTGCACTGAGAGGGACAGCCTATATAATATGCAGGCAAACAAATCTTTATACTGGTACCAAAATGAGCTTATAATACAGTTGTCCATGGTAATGAAATGAAAAAACAAGACAATAACAGAACCTTGAGCATAGTGAGCCAAAGAACACAAGAGAAACACCACATACACCAATCAGAGATTACTTGAAAGCACCCACAACACCATAGTACAGCACAGTGAAAAATACCTAATCTTACATAACATGCATAATTGCTTTCCTAAACAATATAATCCTGATTTTCAATTAGCAGTCATATCTAGGGTCCAGGTTCACAACATTGATGATGTTGGCCATGTAGGGAAAGAAACCAATTAATTTCATATTTGCTTGAATCCATAACTATATAAATTGCTGTCCAGGAGACTCACTTCAATATTTGCCTTTTCTATAGATATATTGAGGAAGTAAACCAAACCAAAGTGGATATAATTTGGTAACAAACCAATGAGCCATACAATCTAGTCTTACCATATGCTATTACAATTTCACTAATTAAAATAGCCTTCTCAACAAGTCTATAGCAAAATGTCAACGAATATATACCTTATTAAGCTATGTAATTCTAATTTCTCAATTCACATGAACAACTAATTTAGGTCTGGAAAGTTTAAGCAACATATATGCACATTTCAAGAGACATTGATTCACTACATATCGGCTACAGCAAAATCATATGGAACTCCAAAATATACCTGGATGATATTTTGGGAAAGCTCAATTACACCGATTGCAGGCCTGAGCCATCCAAAACCATGGGGACTCCTTGGTAGTAGTGCAATCTGCAAGCCAACAAACATATTAGAATGTAGAACAAGAAACAAATGCAGACAGCAGCATGCCCATTCACATGTAAACAAAAATGAATTCCAACATAAGTTTGTGGGTTGGTGGCTATTTATTTCTGATGAAAAAAGCACAATGGTGTAATAGAAAAATCTTTTTCCCCTATATGTGTTACAGAAATTGGAGTAAATGATATGCACTAAACAACAACTGACAATTAGAAATGTACTCCATCAAGACTGCAAGTCTAACAATTGCATGGTCAATAAACATCTCTGTAACACAAGATT